GTCCGCACGTGCGCATTCTTGCGTGGGGGGAGAGACTACAGCAGCACCGGTATATTCCTTTTTTTTGTTCTTCTGCGCACCCTGGTTTTGACCGTCGAACACGCCAGCACCTCCCTCTGTGGTTACCTTTTCGAGAGACCCCCCCTGGGCAGGCGAAAACCCAACATACCGCTCCATACCGGCATTGCGGCGTTTACCGACGACGGCGTGCGGTAACATGAGTATACCCCCCCCCCCCCCCCCCCCTCCAGGTGTACCTGCCAATCTTCCAGACAGCGGGAAGCGTGGAGCTGGCGCTGAGCATGTTCGAAGAGCACGTGGCGCTGTACGAGTCGGAGGAGGACCCCGCGAGACGGATGCAGCACGAGTCGGCCCTTCGCCGCGCCATCTCGACGGACGTGACCGTTACGGAGGCCCTGAGCGAGGTGTGGGAGCTGGGCATCTGGCTCGTGCGGCAGCTGCTGGGGCCTCAGCACGAGAACGACATGGCACGGACGGTGCAGGTGTGTGTGTGTGTGCGTGCGTGTCTTTTTTGCTAGCATCGACCGCGCTAACCGGCTGACCAATGAAAATACGTCAGCCTCAGTGCGGTTGAAAGCACAACACATTTATTAATGCCTTAACTGGGACTCCGTGAGGGGGCGGCATGGGGTTCAACGCCACACGGGCAGCGGCTCCGAGCACACACGCGCACCGACTCCGCTGACACGCCAAGGACGCACATGCGGTCGTCCTCGTTATACGGATGGGCAGGTGTTCAACCAGTTCATCAACGGCGGTGAGGCCATGCACCACCTCAAGCTCAAGAACCTCAAGTCCATCGTGGCGGACACGACTGCCATCGTGTCCTCGCTCCACCACGCCCTGCCGAAGCGGAAGACGGCGCCTGTGCCCAAGGACGGCGGGGAAAATGCGAGACCCGGCGCGGGGTCCGGCTTCGGCCAGGTGAGCTCGAGGGAGAATTGGTTTTGTTTGTTGTTGGTGCTGGTGCTGGTAGTGGTGCTGGTTTGTCGTTGTCGTTGTTGCTGTTGGACCCCCCCCGTCCCCCCGTCCCCCCGTCCCTCCGTCACCCCGTGCCCCGCAAGCCTCTTCGGCGTACTGCAGTGTGTGTTTCCCGGCCGTGGACGGTCGCCTTTTGGGTTACGTTTGCGCGTCG